AGGGCTTGGACCACTGTCTCATGAGCGCAGGTAGTGCTAGTGTGTCTCTGGGGAGAACAAGAGATTGGGTGTAGGAGCGGCTGCTCTCTGTATAACCTGCTGCCCTGCATAATGCACAACTTGAGGAGTAACTCGAACATTTGAGACCCAAGTGTTTCTAGAAGATGTAATGGCTGCCACCAGTGACAATTGCACTGCAAGCTATGGTCATTGTTCAGTACTTATCAATTGGAATGTCCATTTAATTTCTAATCTGAATATAATTTTGACTTATCATTGCTGGATCATCTTAATATATTAATTTCCACAGTTAGAGATCTCTTTTTGTCTCTCTCTTTTTGTATGACCTGACCCAAGTAATCTGTGAAAATCTAGATAGGTTTGAATTCCCAAATCCATCACCTTGACAACACATGTTCACCCAGCTCTTGGTCTGGGAGTTGCAGGTGTTTGGAGGCAGCACTCATGCTGCTGTTCCTTGAATTGGCTACTCCTGGGTGGTAGACTTGCATATGGAAATGCCTGTTGCTTGATAGACTGGATGCAGGCATGATGACTTTGTGAGGGACTGCCAGCTTGATTATTGGACTCAGTCTTTGCCAGCTGCAGATGTTTTCAATGGTGGGTGCATAATATTGCTAGGAAAAAAAATGGCAAGGTATGATCCATGGAAGGAGAGTAAGCAGGCTGTTAACAGGGTAATCCTGGCCACAGCTCTTACCTTTGCCTTCCCTGCCTTCAGGTCCTCAGAGACCCTCGATTTGATCACCTGTCTGGAGAGTATAAGCCTGAAATATTTATGAAGACGTACAGCTTCCTGGACAGCATCAAGAAGCAGGAGAAGGAGGTGATGCTGTGTGCCTGTCCTTGGCCCCCCTTGCTTGGCAGGGGCAGCTTCTGGAGGTGGGAGGCAGGCAATCATGCAGCTTTCTGCTCTCTTCTTCAGATGATTCAGAAGCAGCTGAAAAAATGTCAGAACATGGAGCAGAAGGAGAAACTCCAGCAGCTCCTGAACCGCATGGTGAGTTCAGTGCAGCATCTCCTCTCCTGTGAGGCAATGCACTAGAAGAGAGGATGTGTGACCTGAGGTCTGCCTAGACACTTGCTGACACAGGCCATCCTTTCCGTACAGACACAGCAAGAACAGGCACAGAAAAAACAGCAGAAATTGAGGGAGAGGGAGCTGTCTTTGAAGAGACAACAGAGGGAATTGGCCAAGCAGGGAAAGAAACCCTTCTTCCTAAAGAAATGTAAGTACTTGGTGTGAACATACTGCAGGAAGACCTAGAGGGAGTACTGCTGACAGGACTCCAAGCACTGGATGTGATTTGTCCATAATATTCCACAGAGCTGTGGAGGGATTGTTCTAGTGCTGGTACTCAAGGGACAAGCCAGGCCTGGAGCCAGGGAGGGAGAGGTGAGAAGAGGCTGGTCTGTAGAGATGATTTGGGCTTCAGTTTAAAATCTTGCTCCCCTCTCCTCTACAGCTGAGAAGCGGAAATTGGAGCTAGCTGAGAAGTATGCAGAGCTGAAGAGGAGTGGAAAGCTGGAGAGCTTCCTGAACAAGAAGAGGAAGAGAAATGCCATCAAAGACAAGCGCCGTCTGCCCTCACAGAAGAACTTGTGACTGCTGGACGGATATGCTGTTTTCTGGCACTGGGACTCACTCTGCCCTGGCCAGGCCTGGAAGATGGCCATCCCTCTTCCTAGTATCTGCCTTTCACTGTACAGTGATGCTGTTAGGCAGCAGAGCAGAGGCTGAACTGAAGGAAACAGTGCTTTTTGTAGCTGAAATGTCCTCTTCATTTGTGGTTTACACCATGCCTGGGTGACATGTCTGTCATGCAGATGCGCATGGTGTTGACAGCTGTCTCTGTCCTTGCACCTGCTCATCTCTTCCTCTGGCTAGGAGAGCATGAGCCCTACCCTGCATTGCTGGCTCTACTCCAGGTCTTATTGGACACCAGCTGAGGTGGGAAAGGACCTCAGCTCTGGTACAATGCCTGCTCAGAGCAGGGCTAGCACTGACTTCAGACCAGGTTGCCCAGGGCTTCTTCAGTTGGGTCTGGGAATGTCCAAGGACAGATGCCACCACCTCTCTTGGCCTCTGTTCCACTGCTTCAAGTTCTCAAGATGAAACTTTTTTTTTTACCCTCCTCCAGGAAACCTGTGTGGTTTTAGTCCATAGTCATTGTCTTGTTCTCAGTGAAGTGCCTGGCTCTGTCTTTTCAGTAGCCTTGTCGTAGGTCTGGGGGGTGGGTGGGAAAGGGGTGCTGTTAGGTCTCCCCAGAGCCTTCTCTTCCTGTTCCCCCAGCCTTTTCTTGCAGTGCTCCAGTCTCTGACAACTTTCATGTCCTTAACTGGAGTCAGCCCAGAAGACCAACATCTATCTTCTGGGGGCCCAGCCTGGATGCAGTATCTGGATGTAGTCTCACAAGTGCTGTGTAAAAGGGAGGATCACACTCCTCTGCGTGGACTGCACCCTGGTGATGCAGCTCCTGGATTTGTTGGGCTTCCTCACAGCCAGGGCACGCTGCTGACTGTGCTCAGGTACTGCTGCCCAGGATCTCCCCGGCAGGGCTGCCTCTCTTCTTGGCTTCTCAGGGTGGTCCCTACAGGGCTATTAGTGCTTCTAGGAAACTGATTCTGTATGAAATAAAATACCTCAGTTTTACTTTATTTCCAGTGTTGGTGCTGCTACAGTCAAAAGTGTTTGAACTCATGGGAGTTAGTGCCTCTCTTCAACATTGACCACCAGCTTTCTTGTTTCTCCTCACTCCTGATTGCCCCTGTCTCCTGTGGCTGTGCTGACAAGGAGGTGTTGATTTCTGTCCGACAGGTCAGAGCGTATGCCAGGAGAGTGCCTCAGCTCTGCAGGGCAGAGTGCTCTCTGAGCACAGCTGTGCTGTGTGCATGTGGGCAGCTGGTGTGTGGGGCCTGGGGAAAGGTCTTTCAATGGAATGATGAGCAACTCTATCATGCCCCTCTGAGGGTGTTGCTGAAGCATCTGCCTCCACTGCAGTTCCTGTAGGTGATGTGGGTGATGTGAGTTCTGCTCTGGTGACAGTTTTAGTGTAACTGGGGGAAGGCAGTAGAAATGGGATGTGCCAGCTTGGCTAGAGACCACATGGAAATACTCAGCTGCCTTTAACTTGCATGTGGCTTATTGCTTGGCACTGTGCCTGACTGCTTCTTCCTCCTCTTCTTGCCTTGTGATGTGGGATGCAGAGCCTGCCACATCCTTGTGCCTTTAGAGGAGAGTTACCTTGGGAGCAGTGTGGCAGCACCAAAGCCCAAGGCTATCCTGACCCCTTTGTGGCATTGGTCTGCTGTTTTATGCTCTCAATTTTTAATCCAAAGCTGAACAAACCTCTACCTGTACTTTAATGCAAGAAGGGAAGAAGACTGTGGCCTGGACAGGCTGGAGGTGGTTCACCCCTGTGTCACTGCTGCCAGGGCCTTGCTGGGGCCGTGTGGGAGCAGTGTTCCTGTGTCCCCATCCCCAGCTGCTGGTAGGCCCTGCCCAGCAGAGAGCAAACCTGGTGTACTGCCAAAGTGGTCCTGCTTTTCCCTCCTGCCCCTCTGGAGCCAAAGTGCCCCCTGCCTGCTGAGGCCTGCGTGACTGCCTGCAAGGAGGACATCCTCCCTGGGATGTCACCCGCTTCTGTTCAGCACATTAGCTGTGAGGAGCAAGTCTACTGGCCTGTTTCTTCCTGCCAGCTCCTGGGCCCAGTACCCCCCAGCAGGGGAAGCCCTGGGGCATTGTCCAGCTCAGCCAGCGTTGTGGTGGCACTGGGTATTAGGGCAGACAGCAGCATGGCAACGCCAGCTCCAACAGAAGGAGATGTTTCCAACAGCTCCACAGAGCTTTCTACTGCCAGGGGAGCTGCTCTTCCTGTGGCCTCCCAGCCTCAAGGGGTCAGCTGGGTTATTTTCCTTCTGTTTCTAATGCTGTCCCAGCAGTATGTCTCTGCCAGACCTGCGCTGGTGTCCCTCCAGGTGGAGTGTGGGGACTTGCTATGGGTGTCCCTGGGGACAGCAGCCATTGGGCATGGCTGGCACCCGTTGGTGTGACTGCAGCTCC